CAAAAGAGATCTTCCATCGTTCAGGAATTTCTGATTTCATCTTTCAACTCGTCCACGTTGCTTCTTCGGGGACTTCAGAAAACAGGGTTTTTGGTAGATTCGTGCAATTTCAAAGCCCAACAGTGCTAGACAGGGCCCGATAGCTTCGTAATGTGCGAAAAATTCAACAACGAAATTTTGGTGAGACACTACCTTTAAAGTGCAGGGAAATGTTTTGCGAGGTTGGTTCAGCAAACTTTCAGAAACAAGGTATCATTTAAAGAGCAATATCGAGAACATTCAAATCCAAATTCTTCCTCGATTTCAGTATAGAGAGAAGAGCAGAGGTTTTTTGGTCACGAGCAAAAAAACTTGGTTTTAAGCGTAAATATGACGTAAGGTGTGATTGCGGAAGCACGCATTTGATTTGCGGCTTGTCCTGTTCTCTCAGCGATTTCAGGCTTGACAAAAATTTACAGCAGTGCAAAATGATATATCGATTTGTTCGGAAAAGGGTCTAAGCGATCGAAAAGCCGAGAAACCAACAAATTATTTTGTGCAATGAGGGACAAAAACTGGTAATTCACCTCTTACTGTCGTAAACGCCGGACGTCGTGTGTAGCTGCGTATCGGTCACCTTACAGTAGAAGAATGTGTAAATTATGCATTGTTTTGCACGTTCCAGTCTTTTTTCTCTCCAGAGCAAGTCACGTCGTGTGTAGTAGTGTCATGTGCTTCTTTTGAGTGCTCTTTCGACCAATACTACTTTTTAAAACTTTTTGCCAGAGGTTAGTCTGTTTGCACGTATCGCTAAGAATCGCATATCGTCTCGCGTACATCTTTATTCAGCCTTTCCTGTAAAAATCTCAAATTTTGTTTTCCAGTTTTGCAGCATAATGCCACCCGTTGCTGCACATACCGGCGTGCCCGGCGGGCAACCGACATGCTTCCAGAAGGTGTGCTCTCTAAATCAATAACTCCTGCCGACAATATAAAAAGTCCATTTCATAGTTTATGCTTCCAGATACGATTGGGTTTCATGATGGGCTGTATGATTGGTGGTGCTACCGGTGTGCTTATTGGTGGTTTTGCTGGTTTGCGGATGGGTTTGCGAGGGAAGGAATTACTCAAACAGGTGACTTTTCAACCTAATTGACCTGTATTTTCTAAACTTTTCCTGTTGTTTTTCTTTTGTTTTTTAACTTTGTATCAGTTTCTCTCTTTGTTTAA